CCCCCCCCGAGGTGTGTAAAAACTTCAATAGAGGAAAATGTTCATTTACCTGTTGCAGATATCAGCACAAATGCTATCTATGCAACAAAGATCATCTCCTCTCTTTGTGCCACTCAACCGGAGCTAGACATTTTTCTTCCCTTTACCCCATAAATCCCTTCCCCAACAGCCATTACACCTTCTCTAGCCACCAAAGAGCAAATACAAATCCATGAGTCCAAAAAAAAAGATAGCCCTCCATGACCTGCAATCAATAATTGGCCTTCTGAACTTCTGTTGTTTCAACATCCCCATTGGTAGGGCCTTCTGCCACACTACAAAATTGGTCTCAATAATGAGGCCCGTGTTGACCTTTCAATGTGGAAATTATTTCTCCAATCATTAAACGGAAGAGGCTTCTTTTACGATGAAACATGGTCATCTTCCCCTACAGAATGTATATACATGGATTAATCGGAAAGTTTCAGTTTTGGGGCAACATTTGATACAAAATGGTTATATGGAAACTGGCCTCAGGGACTGAAAAACCTAAATATTGCCTTTCTCGTCTGGACAAATCACTTCAGAAACCAAAAAATTACAATATATACGGACAATGAGGCTCTGATCTTTATACTGAACAAATGTACATCCAAGGACCATTCTATCATGAGGTTACTTAGAAATCTAATTTTACATTGCCTTACAAACAATGTTAACTTTCGAGCTGTCCACATCCCAGGCGTAAAAAAACTGTGCAGCTGATGCCTTATCCTGCTCCAAATTACAGGATTTCAGGAGACTGTGCCCTCAGGCAGATTCAGACCCTACTCCCATCCCACCAGCTTGGTTGCTAGCCAACTTGCTGAGGACTTGAACCACACATTGAGGAATGCGCTCACCAAAAATACAGCAAGGACCTATTCCAAAATAAACGAATTATTAGCCGACTTTCAGCAACAGACAAACTTCAGTGCTTTCCCATCCAATCCAGCAGGCACGGCTTTGTTAGTTCAATTTCTAAGTTCCCGCTACAAGACATCCTCAATCAGAACACATGTCAGCTCTAAGTTACAAATACAAAATGGCTAATATTCCTGACCCAACCGCCCCTTTTATCGTTAAGCAGACATTACAAGGTCTGGAGAGAAGAACCCCGTCCATGGATAAAAGGTCTCCGGTGACCCTATCAGTACTAGCCAGTCTTATTCAAACACTACCAAAAACTACGGATTCTATATACGAGGCTCACCTTGTAGCTGCAATGTTCGCCCTCGCATTTTTTGGACTGTTACTGATAAGCGAATTTACTCTCAGCGACTCAGAACATACCCTCCTGCTTGCTACGCTGGGATTCGCACCTTCGGCTTGCACTTCCGGATATAATTATACTAACCTTCATCCGAATCATAGTTGATTTTCAACCTTCTTGCCATTCTTTTTTAATTTCTATATAAGGTAGTGCTTAGCGGTGTCTGACAGACTGTGAGTACTATGCCTTGTAGCAGATGCCTGTGAAATGTTTCATGTGGCTCCTGGGAGCCAATCAAAATGTGTATGTTCACACTTTCGCGCCTAAGAACTCCACTTTCCCATTGAATGATATCAATTCGAAAGCTGTTCTTTTTTTTAATTTCCAGGCAATTAAAATAAACATATTGCTATTCATGAACACGTTTAATAGTGAACTTTTAATGTGGGGATGTTCGCGCTGCCGTTGGAGAAAGTCTGAGTGCAGATGACGTATTATTTTGTTGGCGTTGCAAAATCAACGATCTCCTACTAAACTATACGTCAAAATTGTTCATTTCAAAGTCAACACTGGTGTCCTGACCGTAAAGATCTACCATAGAATTGTACAATGTCATGAGAAGAGGAGAGAGGTAAGATATACAAATTAGCAATTTTGCGGGATCACCACTGCCACCACCACGAATGGCACAATGTTCCTCGATCTTTGACTTTCAAAACCTTTTCTAAATAAATTTTTGTGGTGACTTAGACCCATGCATTTGGTAATTAAATAAAATAGTTTGGCAACTTATTTACTAATTTAACAATTATGCTATCCTAGTTTGAGTGCAGATCTCTGCGTATGTGTACATTAATTGCGATGTGCACATTAATTTTCAAATAAATATCGTAATGTAAATGATTAAAAGTACAGATATAAAGTTGTGGTCGTAGTGAGATACCTTGTACATTTAATAACTGATACAATATACATTTGTTAAGAGATTAAACAGTGTAAGTAAGAGAGTTAAAGAGTGCTTGTGTTGTTCAATAATAAAAAAGAATAAGGAAGTATAGTTATCATTCCTTCAGGATGATACAATGAAAAATCTGTATTGATAGAAATTGCGAACTACGGTCAAGTATCATACCATTGCCTAATAAGAGAATGATTATATTTTAGTAATGATGGAAAGTTATGGAAAAATGGATAATCACAGACATTGTGTAAGAGCTGAGGAATTATTACATTACCAAATAAGGTAATGTAGGAGAAATACAGAAATTATTGTAAAACTATAATTTCCTTTATAAAGCAATATATTGTTATACGGGAGTCATTCCTATCAATTTCTCACGTGCCCCAGCGCATGCGTTAACTATCTCCGGGTCATGACCCAGAGCACTAGGCATTGGACCAATCAGTAACCCGAACCCAATCACGTGGGCACAACATTCCAACAAAGGTGCAGATATACAGCTACCGCGAAAGAAGAAAGTCGGAAAAGAATTTTACACAGCGAGCAACAAGAAAGGTAAGCCAAGGAATACGGCTGTATTCTAAATATGTTTTTTATCTTTAGACTGGGGCTAAACATTTTTCAGTCTTCTTTGGCGCTTTTTAAAATTTCCCGCCTTTAATAATTATGTAGAGGATGTATTACGGACATCTCGCTGTGTACAGATTTCTCTTTCAGAACTTATCATGGAGCAGTTGGGCCTGTGGGCCCATGGTATGTCGGTACGCATTTCACAATCTGTTACGCTCCGCTCTTTTACTCCTTTTCATAAAATTGTAAGGGTGACTCCCGTTAACGCCCAACATAAATACATAATTATTAAACATAGCAAATAATTTTACTTTTCAAATATATTGAATTTATAAATACAGAAATTATTGTAAAACTATAATTTCCTTTATAAAGCAATATATTGTTATACGGGAGTCATTCCTATCAATTTCTCACGTGCCCCAGCACATGCGTTAACTATCTCCGGGTCATGACCCAGAGCACAAGGCATTGGACCAATCAGTAACCCGAACCCAGTCACGTGGGTACAACATTCCAACAAAGGTGCAGATATACAGCTACCGCAAAAGAAGAAAGTCAGAAAAGAATTTTACACAGCCAGCAACAAGAAAGGTAAGCCAAGGAATACGGCTGTATTCTAAATATGTTTTTTTATCCCACCCACCCCTTCCCATACTCATTTCTTTTCACACCCTCTTTTGCGCCTATTGCGCTTTTAGTCATTCCACTGCTAAAAGCATTGGGTGGGGCGCTTTTTAAAATTTCCCACCTTTAATAATTATGTAGAGTATGTATCACAGACATCTCGTCGTGTACAGATTTCTCTTTCAGAACTTATCATGGAGCAGTTGGGCCCCTGGGCCCATGGTATGTCGGTACGCATTTCACAATCTGTTACGCTCCGCTCTTTTACTCCTTTTCATAAAATTGTTAGGGTGACTCCCGTTAACGCCCAACATAAATACATAATTATTAAACATGGCAAATAATTTTACTTTTCAAATATATTGAATTAATAAAGACTTTGTGATACATCATGACATTGGAATGACGCTCTATAGGATAAAAGAGAATACATTGTACCTGGAAAGAAAGAATATATGAATAAATCTTTTAGGCTCCCAAAAAGATGTATGTTATTCATTAATAGTACTGGCGAATTAGCGGTACTATATAAAGTTTAATATATAACATAAAATCTCACAGCTAGTATATATCCAGCATCTACAACATACTAACCACCCTTTTGCCAGGAAAAACTAAGCCCTTTTGCCAGGTAAAATTTACTGCTTTTGCAGCCCCCCCCCCCCCCTCGTTGAATATTGGAAAGGTTAGAAATGTGCCAACTTAATGAAAATTAATATTTGATTAATAGTACAATATATTAATTACATATGAAAAAACTTGGAAAGCAATAAGGAGCAATATTTATGGCAAAAAATTAGAGCTCCTTTTTAAGATTTTTTTTCAAATAGTCAGATGTCCATGCAAAATGAAAAAAAAAAAAAAAAAAGACCAAAGAATTATATATCAAAGTTACAGATCTTAATTTATTTGGTTTATTTTTTAGCTAAAATGCAATTTTTCAGGATGATGATGATGATGATGATGACATTGTTTGGGAGCAAGCAGATGTTCACGAAGATACAGTGAAGCAAGAAGAAAAGATTTATCCAGGGCATTATTTGTCTTTGAGAGGAAGTTTGACTTTGATCTTATTGTATTCTTTGGCATATGATATCAACGCATGTCAGCTAAGTGCATTGTTCATACTTGTCTCACTACACTGCATGGTAAACCCTCCTCTTGTCTAGTATTAAAAGATTTATAAACTATATTTCTGGGCTAAGTGAAAGAAAAATTGTAAAACATTACTACTGTGGAAGATGTTTAAAACAGTTAAATCAGATGCCACTGCATGCACAAATCAGTGTTGCGCACAAGATTTAAGGAGTCCAGACTCCAAGTGCATTTTTATTGAAATGTCTATAATTGATCAACTGAATTCCTTATATGCAAAGGATGACTTTTTAGAAGGAATAGGCCATCAGTTTAAAAGGAATTCCAAAAATATAAGTGATATATATGATGCTCAACTTTACAGTCGCCTAAGCTGTCCTGGTGGGCCGTTATCCTCTGATTATCCATACAATATTTTGCTTACTTGGAATACAGATGGCATTCCTGTATTTAAGAGTTCAAAATATTTGGTTTGGCCAATGTACCTGATGGTGAATGAGTTGCCATATTAGATGAGGAAAAAACAAGAAAATTTGCTTTTTAATGGCCTGTGGTTTGGCCCTCATAAACCTGCAATAACCACATTTACTTTTCCTTTACATGTTGCACTACAGGAGATGGAGAAAGGGATAAATGTGAACATAAAAGGTGCATCAAAAAAGATTAAAGCATTTTTATTGTTTGGCACGGCAGATCTTCCGGCTAAAGCATGTGTTCTGAATATGACTCAGTTCAATGGTCGTTATTCATATTTTCATTGTATGCAGTCTGAAGAGACCTCAAAAAGTGGCAAAGGATACTATCCTACATTTTCTTTTCAAAAAGAAAATCCTTATGGACCACCAAGAGTACAATCAGATTGTAACGAGTATGCTGAAAGATCAGTAAGGGAAGGGAAACCAGTGTCTGGAATAAAAGGGCCAAGCTTTGTCATAGGACTTAAATATTATGATTTTGTAATGAACACTGCATTTGATTATATGCATGGAGTATTGTTGGGTGGATGTAAAACCTGTTTAAAATTATGGTTTTCAAATAGTGACTCAAGGGAAAGCTATTCAGTGCCAAAAGGTATTTGTCTGTGAGGCCGCTGACAACCCATTCAGCAAAACAGTAAGAACATGATAGTTGATTGATGATACATTAAAAAAGCCAAAAAAAAAAAAAATGTTAAAATGTTTTTGACAATTTACATTCTTTTGACTTCATTAGCACAATGTGTGCAATGTATGTTGGAATATTTGAACAGAGTTAGATTACGGTAGTCACCCCTAGCATATTACACTTAGGTGGGAGAAAAATGACCCATACAGACAAGTTTTTTGTGTAAATTTGCTCTATGACAAAGCTTGAGTCACTACTCAGAGGGAGATAAAATTTTTATTGTTTATTTTTATTTCATTATGTTATTTAAAACAATTCTGTATGTTTCTTAAATCTTCATGTTAATGTGCTTGAAACGGTGATTGCATATGCTCAAAGTTTTGCATGTGATCAATGTCATATACAATCCTTAGAATTGTACCTATTTACGGTAGGTGTGACAGAGCCTAAAGTATTTTACATTATTGTTTGAAAGTTTGTTGGATGAATAATGTTGCTGATACAGTACATTATGCTATTTACTACAATAAAAATGTTTTACTTATGGTTTTTAAGGTGAGGGGAATGCCTCTCAGGCATTGTCAATGGTATTGTAAGCTGCTTCCCCAGTGCCCTCCATCTCCTCTCAGCCAAGAACCTAAGAACCTAAGCCAAGAGGAGAACCATGAAGACACAGTTTTGTCTCAATGTCCAAGAAGAGCAGCTCATGTGGGATTTCTTTCATGAGAACACCATCCTCTGGGACATCAAGAAGACTGACTACTCCAGAGTGGACAAGAAGGCAAAGCTGTGGAAAGATCAAGCCAAAGTAGCCTGTTGAGCACCTTCAAGGGTGGTTCAAATCCCTGTGAGATACCTACACCCGCCTTGACGAGAAAAAGAACGGTGACGGTGCTCCGGAAATGGACAGAGAGGGAGCAGTGGGCAAAGGCAAATTTCGGCTTATTCAAGACTGTGGTCTGCCATCGCCTGTCTACAGTGTAAGTATAAACAAACATTAATATTAATATTTGTTTTGTTTTTTTTTACTGTGATTACAAATTAATGAATTTGCCTTAGTATTTTTTTACTCATCAATAGTCATTAATTGCAGGTGAAGGCAACCACTGCAGCTCACAACGGGGACCTCGAGGCTGCCGAGGCTGCCTGTGCAGACATCGTGATAGATCACGACAGCACACCCTCTAATTATTTTTTGCTGTCCACAAGAGATATATATAGTTTAAGGGTCAAATTTTCCAAGGAGCTTATTGAGAAATTTGTGTAGTTTATTAGAAATCAAACAACTAAGAACAACTGGTTTTAGAGCAAGTGCTAATGGACAAGTTGAAAGATGGTGGTGGTGGTGGTGTGTGGCGTGCCTCTGAAGCTGATCTTGATCTTCATATTAAGAAGAAAGAGCTTCAGTTGCACTGCAAGCGTAGAACTCGAGGGGTTGAACAGACTCGATCCCTCATAGACAACCTGCTGTCCTCCTTCTCCTCTGAGTCTGGCAAGGACACCATGGGTATACCTGTGCTGGATGCAGACCTAGCAGACCAGATCTGGGATGAGCAAAAACGCCATTTGGCGTGTATTCAGGTAGGATAAATTATGATTTGTGCACCATATACAAATTAATTGAAATATACCCTAGACGTGATTTTTCTTTCAGACGCCAGATATGACAGTTATATCATATAAGTTGTTAAGTTTGAAGTCTCTGCCATTTTTTCAAGTATAATGCATTTTGTTCATGTATTTATTTTATCTAGATCCTCATTAGTGCAGCTTTTAAAAACTTTGAAGTTCATCTGATGAATTTTTGTAATTCTTTTACATATCATGATTATGAAAGATCTTGAGGGCAAGAACCTATACACACAAATCAGGACAATAAAAAAGGGAGGCATTGAACTGCCCGTGTACCGATGTGCAAGAGGCTCTGTTTCCTTAGAGTCGTTTCACAACCACATTGTCAGATTCATACCAGGTATGTTATAGGGAAATAAAATTTAAATAAATTCTTATTTTCGTATTATATTGTGTAGATATTGTTTCACTGAAATCAAAGGCACTCTTCCTATTCATTTGAACTTTTATTATTAGATTGAAAAAGTTTGAGAGAAACTTTTTGTTTACTTGACAAACACAATAATAGATAAAAAGATCTATAATGCCAGCTGCTTACATTCACTTGCACTATTCAAACAGGTACAGTCGCCAACGACAGCCATTTCCAAGCATACCTTTTGGAGGGCATTTTGCAATGGAATAAAGACAGAGAGCAGGCTGCACAGGGGCGGGAATCTGGGCACTTCTATAACAGTGCTGTTCAGCTGGAACTGAACAGAGCCAGTGCACAGGTGTATGGTGAGCCTATCGACCCATCTTTCCATCCTCCTTTACGGTACACTGGGGAAATGATAGGGGTGGAGTACCTGTATAGCCAAACTGGTAGACGACATCAAGGAGGACGAAGAAGAGGAAGATGAGGGGGTATGAGAAAGAGGAGGAGCAAGATCCCACAGTTGGGATCTTAGCTCAGAGGAGAAGGAAGGGTATGCACGATTTGTTTTTGTTGTTTAACTCATTTTATAACCGGAATTATTTTGATGATTGCAATTTGTTTTGTTATGCAGTGTATGTATCTTTTGTTCCCTGCATGCAATTGTTTTCAGATTGATAGTACTGTCTCAGAGTAGCTTGTACCATTAATTATAATTCGCAGGGAGTTACCTCATTATTTCTGATTTTCAGATCATGAGTCACATACCCACACTACCTCCTACAGGGGAGGTGGCCTCCAGGGAACTAGCTTAAGTTGCACAAAGACGGACAGGACACGCAGATCCCCAAAACATCCACATGCATGGTGCCGCCCTCAAACCTCCTGCTCCAACGGGTGCTGCACCCACCAATCCCACATCACCCGTCATGATAAATGATACAGTTCCATATCTCCCAGCTGCATCACAATCAGTGAGCTTGAATCTACCCAGTACCAGTCTGACTACTACAGCTGTGGGCTAAACGAGTAACCTCACATATAGCACTTCCTTTCTCACCAGCCGGGCACACTTCTCCGGTTACATGAGTAACCAACCTACAACCAGCATTCTACCAGCACCATTAATGGGTCATTTGAGTAACCTGTTATCCACTGGTGCTTTCTTCTCGGGTTACATGGGTAACATCCCTCTGTGCCACCACCATTCATGGGTCACATGGGTAACCCAGCTCTGCAGGATTTCCCTCAACAGCATATTCCAGGACGTGCTGACTGCCTATAAATTCCCCACTGCGACCACTCCTCTAGGTAACAATTCTACTTCCCTAGAACAACACATTCGGCGTGCCACAAAATATAATAAAGATTTGGAACAAGGAAACCATTTCTATCAAAACCCTCATACCCCCTACCTCCAACACCTTGTCCAGGGCAGAAAAGCACAACGAAGAGCACTTTGTCCATAAGAAACAATAAGATGAGAATGGTAAACAAGTACAAAGAGGCCACCTCACCAAATCAGTGGTGATGTGCACTTCAGATACTCGCAGCCTTCCCAGGCTGTTCCATTGTTACAATATGCTAATAGAATCCGAGAAATGCAGGCCAATTGCCATTATGCCAACTGGCGTCTTTATGACGAGAAATCTCGGGCCACAGAAACTGAACCCAACTTCAGGTGGGAAGATCCCAATGGTGTCCCCTTGGCAGAGTTGACGTTTATCTCCAGAACCCCCTCTCATAACATGGTATTAGCTCCAAACAGGGGTATATGCAACAGGTGGAACGATGGGCAGCAGTGTGATGCCTCCACATGTCACTTTTCAAATCAAGGCTCCAAGTGTAGAAGTGTTCATCCAAGGATCTCTTGTTTTCGTGACGGGCAGAAATCCCATTAGCCCTTACCCATATTCCAAAGGACCTCATCACCACTGCAAGTTCTAACATAATAACTCTCAGGTAAAATGCTTCATCCAGGATTACAAACAATTTTGCATGAAAAGGGCTGCCCTTAAATGCAAGTGGGAAACACCTGATAGTGTAATTTTAACCAAAATTGCATTCCTTTGCCTACAGTTGCTGGGGGCTTATAAACTATTCCAGGATGGATGGGTAAAAGACATCCAATACAAAGAAGTGAATGGTCTTCACTTGTTCAATTTTCACTTGTTGCAGCCCAGGAGCATATGACGGTTGTTTAGGAATATTTTAGATTTGGCCTCCTTATCAAAACGGGAGCAGTAGCTCTTAGAAAAAGAAGCGTGAAACAGATGCATACAGGTAGGTAAGATGAACAGACATTTATACGCTGATCTGTTGATTTTTTTACTAATGTACTTCAAAGTGTTAACAGTACAAAGGCTTGTATGATAATAAAATATCAGTGCTACACAGCTGAAGAATATATATATATTGCCAAATAGTGAGTATTTTTTCATAACAGTTTGTTGGTATATATCACTAGAACATATTTTGATTTCATCATAAATAGAGTATTATATCATGCCTAAGAGAAAGCTTAGCAAGAACATTCAACCAGGTGTTCCATGTGGTCCCTGCGCAAGGTGTGAGAAAGTCGATTTAAGGTACTGGCATGTTAATGTCAGTGAAGAGTCTGCGTTTAGCAACCAGTCGGTAGCTTTGGAAGAGGAAATAAGACAAGGTGGCTCTTACAAAGATAGTGATTGTTTTTGTTATTCTTGTTTAAGTCTTTGGTGCGTAGTAGTAAAACTCCCAAGAATGATCAACCTGAACAAAGTAAGTGTTGTTTACCTTTTTGCCAGCAATCCTCTGGTTCTCAAGTTAAGAGGACAAGTCTTGGTATTCCTGAAGACATAGTTTCATGTTTTTCTTTAAAATCTTCTGTCTCCACAGTACCAACAGTACCATTTACCTTGTGTATCCCACACTATAGTAGGTACTATGATTTTTGATTTTTTAAGGTGGCCAAAGTGCTTTTCCTGTTCACAGGATATTGTGCACAGTGCAACTGGCAGTAAACCAGGGGATGTTGCATTTTGCCCTTCAAACAGTCTACAGGAATGTAACAACTTCTTCATAGGTGCTGTCAGGTTAGAAGGGACTGTTGATGAATCCACACCATTTTGTAAATGTTGCATGCCAAGATTTAGGAAGCCAAAAAAGGATCAACTCTCACCTGGTGTCATTAATAAAGATTATGAAATAATCTCATTTATATGCAAGGTTTTTGGAGTCGCTTCCTGAGCCAAGCAATGTGGCTCATAAGTGTTATAAACTGACATATACACCCGACATATACACCAGAATAGACCAATAACAACTTACGCATGTTCGTCACGTGACACAATGCGTAATATGCGCAAGAACACAAGACACCAGCAGACTGCTACTTTACAGAGAAGAAATAAGAAAGAATTTGTATGAAGCATCGCTGAGTTGATATATATTAGGTAAGTAAGAAGATCCAGAGCCAGGACCCACAGATCTGATACCCAGCACTAAGTCAGGTAGCTCTGGCAATCAAGCTTTATTGGGTTCAAGGGACCCATTGCCTTCAAAACTGGATTCTTGGGAATATCAGGTTATAACGGTGAACCAAGATGGAACATTCAACTGTACATCTTCACCCAACCTTCTTCACTCGCAAACCACCCAGTTGGGTTCAGGGGACTCAACCCTGGCAGCATCTACAGATACGGCCTACCAATCACTAACTCACCTCTCCCAGACAACCATCACTAAAATTCAAGAAGACCAGTATGTTGATCTCAAAGGCCTTATACCATACACCTCCAATACCCTGCTCCCAAGAGACAAACAGGAGCCTTCCCTCCAATTTTTGGTAATACACCAGTTTGATCAGGCAGCCCCCTTGGTCCTTCCTCCTACTCAGCAAAACAAAAAGGAAATTAAAATATTCCAATGGCTAGTTGGTTTCAGAGTGTTTAAGGCAGTGTACACTCAAAAATTTCCAGAAGAATCAATTAATCTCATCGCGTACCAAAACCGTATACTGGAAATGTATACAAACAAAATCACCAATTGGCGTCTCTACGATGAACGTTTTCGAATGAAAAGGGCTGCCCTGAAATGCAATTGGGAAATCCCGGACAGCGTCATTCTTACCGAAATTACATTTGTGACCATAGCCCTCCAAAGCACTTTTCGTCCCCAAACCCAAAGCACTTTTTGCCCTAAAACCAAACCCACTTGCAACAAATGGAATGCAGGCAACTACTGCAATTTTCACCTCTGCCAATATTCCCACAGGATGTCACTTGAATCGAAAGAAAAGAAGCTTTTTAGGGCAGCTTGTGGTTCCTTTAATTGGTCGGTGCATTTTACTGAGGAACTGTATGCCAGTGTGGCAACTAATCAGTCCAGGTTTTTTCAGGCGTCTGTGTGCTCTGAATAGTTTGCTTTTTATAAATAATGACCAGTGTTATTTTCCGATTCCACTTTCAGAGATAGTGGATCAATACACACATGGGTCAAAAACCTGTCTTTCTATAACCTCTCTCTTTGTTACTATTAGCAGGGGCACATTTTTAAGGCACAGTGTTTGTGGCCAATCATGACCCACTAAAGCCGTGTAAAAACACGGAATTACCACAGTGGATTATATATCTATATGTAGAGCGGTTGGCACCAGAATTGTAACCCGTTGTTTCTCAGGCCAGGCTTGGTACGACCTGGTTCGGTGGTAGCGGCAGGTGTGTAAGGGACATTCCTGACTGCGAGTACTATGTACACAGCCCTGGGAGTGGAGGGAGGTCCCTAGAAAGGTGAGGGTTCACGCCTTTTGGATAAAGAGGGGAAGAGTGTAGTGTTGGTGAGTGTGTTTATGTCTTGATCTGGAAAGGCAGGTCTCATAATTTTTTAAGTTGCCCAGGACAGCCGGGCTACAAGAAATTATTCAGGCTGTTTCCGTCGATAGCTACAAGGTTAAAATCAAAGGGTTCCTGACTGTGAGGGCTATGTATATAGCCCTGGGAGTGATGAGAGGTCCCTAAAAAGGTGAGGGTTCACTCCTTTTGGATGAAGAGGGAAAGAGTGTAGTGCCGGTGAGTGTTTATGTCTTGATCTGGAAAGGCAGGTCACATGACATGACTGAGAGTGAGGCCGGTGGAGAACTGAATGCCCATACTTCTGTATGAGAAGACGTGCTATTCTGAGATTCCATCTAAGTGTCCATTGGGATCAAGATAAAGAGCTGTTAAGGTAAGAAATTCTATTATTACCTTTATTAGAATCCTAAGGGAATTCTACACTGATAACACGCCATACTTTGATGCACTGCCCCAGGAAACATATGACAGCTTTTGTGGTTCAAGCAAGGAATGTATGGATATGGAAGATCATATTGCTAAGGTAAAAAACGATAAATATTTACCAACATTTGCATACTGCATGGGTGTTTGTTATGCAACACGTTCCCAGATATATCTGTATGAAAGAGAAGATGGTAGACTTAGATTTGTGTTAGGCTACCCTAGACTTGCCTGTAGTAGGAGTGTGACGATGTAGTGTGTTAGTTGAGATTATTTTATATTGCTACCAGTAGATATCTCTATAAGTAAAGTGTTGTCTGGTGCACAAGCTTGAATCACTCCTGTGATTGGTAACTTAAAGGTAAAACTGTTCATTGTATAATTGGTTCTGATTGGTAAACGTGTACTATCTGAACTTGTATATAAGGTGTGACTTGAAATGAATCGGTCTATTTTGGCTTGGATTCTCTTTGGTCTCTGCTCTTTGGTCTTTTGGATGCTCTTTTGGATTGTATAGACTCTGAGACACCAGTAAGAACATTGTTATTTGTATCTTCATAAGGCACTCGGACGCTAAGGCAAAACAATTGGCGCAGTCGACAGGATAGTTTTTGTGTAGCTAACGTTGTGAGAGGATACAATTTGTGTAGCATATGTTGTGAAACTGACAGGATTCAATTTGTGTAGCTAACGTTGTCAATTTACAGGATATAATTTGTGTAGTTTATTAGAAATCAAACAACTAAGAACAACTGGTTTTAGAGCAAGTGCTAATGGACAAGTTGAAAGATGCATGGGTATTATTACACAGATGATTAGATGTAATGTAGAAGGAAATGTAAGATATTGGGATAGAGATTTACCTCAATTAGTTATGGCACAACACTTAACTGTGAATGCATCTACAGGGTTTACTCCTAACATGATGATGTTAGGGAGAGAAGTTTTTTTGCCATTACATTTACTAACAGGTTGTGTGAATGAAAATTTGATACCATATGAGACTAATGAATGGTTGAAAAACTTGGGTGAAAGCCTAAATAAATCACATGAAATGGTATAAACGGTTCTGATTGGCAAACGTGTACTACAGACCCGTCTGTTATTCCCCACTGAGAATGAGCTCCTTGTCCTGAAACAGAATTCCACGGGGGCAACCAATTTTTGTGTTAAGCTTATGCAGTGATTGGGAAGGATTGCGCCATTGCGCCATACACGCATAGAATCGTAACTGGGCTCATAAAAAGACCTGTGTGTGCGCCATAAGGGCTCGTGATATCGTTATACCTCGCGTTAAAAAAAAATAGAACTCCTCAATAAAATATTCATCAACTGATTTTCATAGTTTTTCTCTTGTACCTGCAGTAATGTCTCAGCAGCGAATCCGAAAGATATCAAACGCAATCGCCGAAGTTTGTCGAGAGCAATGATCTCATGGCGCCAATTCATATGGTAATGAAATAAAAGCTGATACCTCATTGGTCAGTCAGTTTATAGGTCATGTTTAACCAATTAAAAGTAACCTTCTTTTTCATTCTGAAAGCACATGGTTTTTTTTTTTCAAGATTCCTCCAAAAAAGATTTAAAAAAAATATCGACAAATCAGCCTACGCTAGTCAGTTTATTTACTTCGACCGTTTTGTCGAAAGATCCATCTAACATCCAGGAAGACGTTGAACAGGAGATGGGGGAGGAAAATACTTCAGAATTTACTGAAAGCTCTGCGACAAGCGTCAGTGACAGTTCTGCTGACAGTACTGGAAGTGGAACTACATGTAGCACCTCTCAGTCACGCGGTTTTCAGCCCCGATGGCTTCATCTATGGTCGTGGCTGAATTACAACAGTATTCAAAGAAAAATGTATTGCCAAAAATGTAAAAAGGCTGGACTCAGAAACACGTTCACCGAGGGATGCACCACGTTCAAAACCTCTAGTATGAAAAGGCACGAGCTGTCGTCTGATCACCGGGGAGCAAGTCGGCGGCTGGCCCTCAGTGCCGACATGGCTTCGTCGATAAAAAAAGCTACAGTGAGGAGGACCAGGCAGTTTTGAAAGCTTTTAAAGTTGTCCGTTGGATGGCCGAAGAGAACGTTGCTCTTAGTAAATTCCCAAGCCACATGAAATTGCTATGTGAACTTGGTGTTAATCTGTCAGCGCTTAAAGTTTCGGAGTGCGTAAATTATCAGAGCTACTATAGTGCAAACGAACTTTTGCAGTCTATGAGTTCCCAGATCGACGGCGCTGTGAACAAGATCTTGAGTAATTCACAGTTTATTACTGTATTTGCGGATGAGTCTACCGACATTAGCAACAGGAAGAGAATGACAATCACAGCAAGGGCTATAGATTCAGACACGAACGTGCCAGTGCACATATACCTGAGTGATCTGGAGTATGAAGACGGAACAGGAGAAGGGCTTGCTCAAAAGATTGTTTCTGAGATGAGTGAAAGAGGTAAGTGCATGGTATTATTTTATGTATAAACTATCTTTAGCCTGCTCTATTTTTGCCAGCATCTAAAAAGACTTAAGTTATGGTAAAATCACTATGTAATATTTATCACATGGTATCTTGTTTTAATTTATATTACCTATATATACTAAAAGTGCTACAGTGAGTGATTTTTAACATTCAATTCCCAGGCATTCCTATGAGGAAGATCATTGGGTTTGGCTCTGATGGGGCCTCTGTTATGACTGGAATGAGAAAGGGAGTGGCTGGAAGATTGAAGATGCTGAACCCCCATATGATGAACATCCATTGTATGGCCCATCGCCTCGCCTTGTGCACATCACAGGCAGCAGAGGGTATTACCAGTATTAAAAAAGTTCAAGACTTCATGACAAATCTTTTTTATTATTTCAAAGTTTCTGCATCAAGAGAAGCTGAGCTGCACAAAATACAGTCTATTCTTGTGAGTCCAGTTCTAAAGTACAAGGAGATTCACGCTGTTCCAAAGCCCACTGATGGCCCATTGATGTGTAAAATGGCCCATAAAGGGTGACCCAGGAGGGGCCCATGTCCAATAGGTGCTTTGAGCCTTCCCAATCACTGCTTATGGGGCAGCTGTTTAGCAGGGAGGAGAGGACGGATCTCACAAAGAACGTGGAAGTCCGTTGGATAGAAATAGAATCCAGTTCATACAGAAAGCTGTTAGTCGTTAGTTTCCAGAGCAGCATAGACTAACCAAGAACTTTTGGGGAAAGATGGTTTCAGCAATGAACACTGCCAATAGAAATTTAAGAGCGTGTAACAAAAATTAGTGTAGTGAATCTGTTTTAGTATTAATATAAGTTGTTATAGTTTTAGTATTAATGTTTTACACCTGTATTGAAAAATTATTAAAACAAAACTATCTTTACCTGACTTTGACATGTTCCTTCTGTTTCTACTTCAATAAAATGTCTAAACTTGTTGAATCTTAATTAATTTACACTCAATTATTCACTGTCCTTTACTCGTTTGATTATTGTCTGTAATTAGCGAAAGGGTACAAGTCATTTACTTCAGAGCATTTCTTCAAAATAGCTTAGATTAAGACTGCATTGATTGCCTTTACTTTTTCATGTTAATCTTTGATTTATTTTGTGTAATTCTGCCTCGTCTTCACTCACAAAGGGCTTACGTGAGATAGAACTAGGCCGCGCATGCTCAATGAACTTAGTTGCTTTGTACATGGGAATCAGGTTTTCACTTCGTCTCTGATGTGTTATGATTTTTCTCTGGACTTCTTTTTGGTTACCAAATAGTTTCTTGGTTTTCTATACAGTTTATCGTGGATTACAACTTCTGGTTGGATTTTCGGGATGTTTTTATTGCGATTGGTTCTTTGTCTACGCCCTCATCATGGTGGCCAAAGACCAACTCTCGTCATGGCGGCCAAAGACCAACAGTCTTTATTCGATCAACTGGCTGCTGTTATTAGCGTTCAGCCATGTCAGGCTCTCCCCACCGGGGATGTTGCTACTGCAGGTAGTAGCAAGAACGCAACTGAGGACAGCAGATCCACCGGATCAAATGCATCCGTATCAATCAGTACTCGTGCCAGCACCAAGTCTGCTGCGCAGAAGGCCTCAAAGGCTACAACTAGTGTGCCAAGCACTGCAGCCAGCGCAGCTGCCCTGGAATTGAGCTCTCTGAAAGATGATCTGAGGCGGGATTTTGCCGCTAGTATGGCCAAAATGACTTTGGTTTTTAAGGACGCGTTGCAAGAGAGGAACAATCATTTTGATCGGTTTGTAGCCAGTCTTGGGCTTAGTTCAGATGGCCCCATCACCAGGAGAATTACCCCCCCGAAACGATCCACCGGACGTTTCCATGAGGGATGATGAGAGCGGTGTGGAGCAGCCAAGGGAAGAAGCTAATCCCTCGGGGTCAGCTAATTTTTATGATATTATTAGTAGCGATATCACACATTTAAAAAATTTAAAAAAAAAATTGGCTGGCAGGGTCTACCTTTGTTCAGGGAGTTACCTCATTATTTCTAATTTTCAGATCATGAGTCACATACCCACACTACCTTCTCCAGGGAACTAGCTCAAGTTGCACAAAGACGGACGGGGCTCGCAAATCACCATACCTGCTCCTGCTCCAACAAGTGCTACACCCACCAATCCCTTACCACCCGTCGCGACCACTAGTACAGTTTCATATCTCCCAGCTGTATCACAATCAGTGAGCTTGAATTTACCTAGCACCAGTCTGACTACTACAGCTATGGGCTAAATGAGTAACCTCACATCTAACACTGCCTCTCTCTCCAGCCTGGCACACTTCTCCGGTTACATGAGTAACCAACCTACAACCAGCATTCTACCAGCACCATCAATGGGTCATTTGAGTTGCCCATTACCCACTGATACTTTATTCTCCAGTTACATGGGTAACCCCTCTCAAGTTGCGACTTCCACCTACGCCCAGGGACTCCTGCCATAGGGTCACATGGGTGTCCATCCTCTCCTTGTGCCACCACCATTCATGGGTCACATGGGTAACCCAGCTCCACAGGTTTTTCCTCAACAGCATATTCCAGGACATGCCGACTGCCTACACTTTCCCCACTGTGACTGCTCCTCCAGGTAACATTTCTCATTCCCCCTATCTCCAACACCTTGTCCAGGGCAGAAAAGAACAACGAAGAGCACTTTGTCCATAAGAAACAATTAGATGAGAATGGTAAACAAGTAAAAAGACAGAGGTCATCTCACCAAATCAGTGGCAATGTGCATTTCAGATACTTACAGGCCAATTGCCATTATGCCAACTGGCATCTTTACAACAAGAAATCTCGCATGTTAATGTCAGTGAAGAGTCTGCTTCTAGCAACCAGTTGATAGCTTTGGAAGAGGAAAAAAGACAAGGTGGTTCTTACAAAGATAGTGATTGTTTTTGTTATTCTTGTTTAAGTCTTTGGTGCGTAGTAGTAAAACTCCCAAGAATGATCAACCTGAACAAAGTACATGTAAGTGTTGTTTACCTTTTTGCCAGCAATCCTCTGGTTCTCAAGTTAAGTTAAGTCTTGGTAGTCCTGAAGACATAATTCCATGCTTTTCTTTAGAATCTTGTCTCCACAGTACCAACATTACCATTTACCTTGTGTATCCCACACTATAGTAGGTACTATGATTTTTTAAGGCGTCCAAAGTGCTTTTCCTGTTCACAGGATATTGTGCACAGTGCAACTGGCAGTAAACCAGGGGATGTTGCATTTTGCCCTTCAAACAGTCTACAGGAATGTAACAACTACTTCATAGGTGCTGTCGGATTAGAAGGGACTGTTGATGAATCCACACCATTTTGAAAACGTTGCATGCCAAGATTTAGGAAGCCAAGAAAAGATCAACTCTCACCTGGTGTCATTAATAAAGATTATGAAATAATCTCATTTATATGCAAGGATATTTTAGTCACTTCCTGAGCCAGGCAATATGGCTCATAAGTGTTATACACTGACATATACACCGACAGTCAATCCTCCTACTACACCAGAATAGACCAATAACAACTTACGCATGTTCGTCACGTGACACGATGCGTAATACGCGGGAGAACACAAGACACCAGCAGATCGCTACTTTACAGAGAAGAGATAAAATGGAGAAAGAAGTTTGTATAAAGCATCGCTGA